TGATGGAGGAACTTATTAGATCATTTTTTACATCAATGGAATTGAATTTTAATCAAACACTTTGTTGATGACCCAGCTTGCCTAGCAGTCGGGCCTCCTTGATATCACTGGTTTTAATGTTAACTTTTATCTCATCTTTTATTAGTTGGAGTGCTTTGATGGTGCAATTCTCATTGTTTGTATCTGGTGGTAAGGTAGAGCTGGTTAAAATGACAGAGTCTAGCAACTTGTTTTGCTCAATCATATCCCTTTGATACTGGAAGCATGCATTCCACTGGGATTCCATGTTTAACTTCCAGTCTTGTGTAGCTTCTGACAGCTTGGTGGTGAGAGAATTTATTTGTTTAGCATCTGTGTCTATAGTTGAATGTAGGTTTGTTCTTTAGATGAGTTTATTAATGATGTCAGTTTGTTTTCTAGTTCACTAATCTTTGAGTTTTGTGTTGTAAGATGATATTCAAGGCCTTTAATTCTCTTGTTTTGGGCATGTAGTGAGCACTCTAGGTCCATAATGAGTTTTTCATAGGTTTCGTTTTGTCATCTTAGCATACTATTTTTCTGTAGAATTTTATAAATGGAGTCGGTCGTTGTTGAGGACTGAACTCCTGGGCTATACTTTTGGGTGTTGACGAGTTGTAATCTATGTTGCTGTTTGTGGTGAAGAGGTCTCAGGTGTTATCCGTAGTTGTAGACAAGTCAGCTTGGGTGCGAGTCATGGATGAGGATGAGTGTCGAGAGAATCCGGAGAAGGTTTTGGAGTCGTCCGCCATTGTTGTTGTTGTGTTGGTCTGGGCAGGGATGAGGGGGGGTGGAAGATTCATTGGCATCCTTCAGGGCAGACATTATGGGTAACAGTTTTCTAGGAGGTTTCGTGTCTGTCTTGGTGTTGCTTTTTCTATTCTTGTATCTCATGAGAACACTAGTGGAGTTATGGAGTTGTTGTAGTGATAACTGTTGCCTGGCTGGGATGTCGTCTGGCAGCAGGCTGGTGTTTGGTATACCGGGCAGTCCTCTATTAGTCATATTTGGTCAGCTTTTTACATCTTTAGCAGTTTTATGTTGGTCATTACTGGTTCCATGTGGATCAGTGCAGCAGTATAAGCTGTTAGGCCATAATAGGAGCTGTAAAGATGTAGGAGTAGCCGTTGTTGTTGTCACCTCAGACGCCATCGAGGACTGTCTAACTTATTTCCATTAGGGCCCTTTATCTTGCGCCCCAGGATGCGACCCACACCAGTCGACTAACACCCATGTGAACAGGAAAAAATGCCTGGAACTAGTGCTCATATTGGTGAATTTAAGGCCAGCAAAGGTTGGTTTGAGAGATACAAGAATCATAGTGGCATACAGTGTGATAAGGCCTGTTCTGGAAGAAAATGCCAAACAGGCCCGAAATCCCTCGGCATGATAGTGGCTATCTTTGTACTACTTAGCAAATCAAAATTGTAATTACACATTGTAACCTTTACAAAGGAATAAAATTATTATTATTATTATTATTATTATTATTATTATTATTATTACTCAGGAGGAAAAGACACTCCGAGGACAGTGTCTCATCACCACATCTTCAATAAAGGTAAGTGTCATTTATTCTTCACTTAGTACACTAGTACATGCACAATATATATTGTGCATGGATCCTTTTTTTTTGTGTGTAGGAAAATGTACATTTCATGTGGTAAAATTTGTTTTTTCATACCTTTGGGTGTCTTGAACGGATTAATTTGTTTTCCATTATTTCTTATGGGGAAAATTAATTCGATTTACAATAATTTCATCTTACGATGTGCTCTCTGAAATGGATTAATATCGTAAGTCGGGAGTCCACTGTATATATAATCACTTATCTCTTTTCTTTGTTCCTCAGAGTACATTTCAAGCGCTTGAGGCATTGCCAGTAGTTTAAATGTGTTATCAAGTATGGGCAATTAAGTCTCTTCACATTTTCCTGCCCTGGTGTCTCCTGCCTTGATTACAGCTGTGAGCACAGAAGAATATCTTGGATGTTAGAGGAAAAAGTGATCTGACTATTCCATCATTGGTATGATTGATCTTGTTTTGAAGGTTTCCTTTATCCACCCAGTCATTTCTTAGAATTTTTCCTTATTGTGTTTTTTAATTAATAGAACACAATGAGATGGTCTTCCAGCATTTTGTATCTTATGATTCTTTAGAGGATTTCCATTGCTTATACATTGAAGCATTTGAATCTGTCTTCCATTGCCCATTGGAAGATTGTTGATATCTCTGTGATTTTTGTGTGTTGTCTACTCCGATGACATTTTTGCAGATTTTGGCATTGTCCTCAGAGGATGATTTGAATCTGTTTTCAAAGTATGCTTAGACTATGTCTGTGATTTTATTTATTCCAGAGCCCCTGTGATTTTGTCATAATTACATAAGTTGTGATGGCATGATTTTCCAACTCCAAATTCATGATGACTTTTTGTTCTTAAATTGTAGTTACTTTTTTTTTTTTTTTTAACAAGTTGGCCGAAGAATGTTTATGTAAGCATCTTTGTATGCCCTAGTGAAAATCGCAAGCAGATTGTTATTGTCCACATGTTGCTGACACATTGAGGGGTGTAACACAGAACCCACGACAAGTACTGTTTTTCTAGTACATAAGATGTACAAGTGTCGGATGCTTGCTGGCACAATGTTTCCAAGCAGTTGTAACATAATGTTAGTAAACAGCTGTTAAGGCATAACCTAAAGCCTACCCTTAACCCTGACCTTGAGCCTTATATGCCAGAAAATATGGTAATGATTTTTTCGTTTCCTTAAAGACCATGAAATGTCTGTCAGCCTAAGAAGAACGTTTTCCACTTGTACTTCAGTGGCGTATTACCCATTTGTGTAGGAAAAGTAAAAATGAATGAAGCTGTTGCATAATATTCAGTGTCCACATCATGCATAGAATTAAGTATAATTCTTTTTTTTTTTAACAAGTCGGCAGTCTCCCATCGAGGCAGGGTGACCCAAAGAGAAAGAAAATCCCCAAAAAGAAAATACTTTCATCATCATTCAACACTTTCACCTCACTCACACATAATCACTGTTTTTGCAGAGGTACCCAGAATACAACAGTTTAGAAGTATATACATATAAAAATATCTCTCTCGAAACTGCCAATATCCCAAACCCCTCCTTTAGAGTGCAGGCATTGTACTTCCCATTTCCAGGACTCGAGTCCGGTTATATAAAATAACCAGTTTCCCTGAATCCCTTCACTAAATATTACCCTGCTCACACTCCAACAGATCGTCATGTCCCAAATACCATTTGTCTCCATTCACTCCTATCTAACACGCTCGTGCACACTTGCTGGAAGTCCAAACCCCTCGCCCACACCTCCTTTACCCCCTCCCTCCAACCTTTTCGAGGACGACCCTTACCCCGCCTTCCTTCCCCTACAGATTTATACGCGCTCCATGTCATTCTACTTTGATCCATTCTCTCTAAATGGCCACACCACCTCAACAAACCCTCTTCAGCACTCTGACTAATAATTTTATTAACTCCACACCTTCTCTTAATTTCCACACTCCAAATTTTATGCATAATATTTACACCACACATTGCTCTTAGACAGGACATCTCCACTGCCTCCAACTGCCTCCTTGCTGCAGCATTTACAACCCAAGCTTCACACTCATATAAGAGTGTTGGTACTACTATACTTTCATACATTACCTTCTTTGCCTCCATAGATAACATTTTTTGCCTCCACATATACCTCAATGCACCACTCAATGCACTGTATTACTCTAAACATTGACAAAACCTACTTCATTCAGTTTGGTAACAGAGCTACAGATGTCCCTCTTAACCTAATGATAAACGGATCACCTATCACAAGACTCACAGAGGGAAAATTCTTAGGAATCAACCTTGATAATAGACTCAAATTTCAAACACACGTACAACAAATTTCTCCAAAAATTTCCAAGACCGTAGGAATACTATCGAAGATATGGTACTATGTTCCACAGTCAGGCCTCCTGGCCCTATATTACTCACTTATTTACCCCTATCTCACCTATGGAATTTGTGCATGGGGCTCAACAACAATAAACCATCTCAGACCATTAATTACCCAACAAAAGGCTGCAGTCAGAATGATAAATGCCCACTACAGGCAGCACACTCCACCAATATTCAAAACTCTAAACCTACTCACCATACAAAATATCCATACTTATTACTACACCTACTACATACATAGAACACTTAACTCTGATATAAACCCTCCCCTCAAACGTCTCCTTACCAACCTCAACAGAACACATGACCATAACACAAGACACAGATCACTCTTTGATGTTCCTCGTGTCCACCTCACGCTATGCAAAAACTCAATGCACATAAAAGGCCCAAAAATCTGGAATTCATTACCTGTGAATATAAAAGAAACACTGTTTATAAATTCAAGTCTCTTCTCAAAAATCACTTACTCACCCACAACTAAATAAATGCTGAATAATTGTATCACACAAATTGTATCTCATAAATGTTTCTCATTATTGTATCTCATAAATGTCTAACCTGTGACCCAATCAAACTTTATTTTTTTAATTACATTACCTAACAGAATACTCCATTCTATTGAATGCACAGCAACACAGTAAATGACCATATGACCTGTCTTTGTAATACTCATTTGTGCTAAATTGTTATCTGTTTGCAATAATGTTTTCACCACTGAATATATCATTGCTTAGTTAATCTTAAGTTAATTTAAAGCCTGCCCATAACACTGCATACAAGGGGCTTTGGCATGTTGCACTTTAATAACTGTATTCCTCTGTACTTCTCTGTATCATGTTCAAATTAATAAATAAAATAATAGAGGTAATAGTGATAGGGAAAGGTTAGGTTATCAAAATTTTTATCTTGTGTATTTTTATTCTTTGTGCAGAATTCCTGGTTCATCCTAATACATAGTTAAGACCTAATTTAATTCATCCTCTTAATTTTTATGTAAAATATTTCAGGAAACTGTTGGCTTAGACAGTGGGGCTGCTTCACCTAAGAGCAGTGTATCGAGCAGTTCTGTAGATGCACATCTTATCAACCTGAGATTGCAGCCCATACCTGAAGAAGTTCGTGCCCTTATTCCCACAAGCATGAATGCCTCCTGTGATGATCTGTCTCTTGCGGGTACTACAAGGTAATTCTTAATGTTACATACACAACTGGTGTTTACTTCCTGTCTCTTGAACATGTAAGATGACAGGTAAATTTTAAGTTTAAATCTCTACTTAACCCCTAAGCGGTCCAAACGTATATGTGTTCACTACCCCAGTGCCCTGAATATTTTGAAAAATAAAAAAATTGTGAAGCAGACAGAGACAGATAGACAGATATAAACAGAGACAGATATAAACAGAGACAGATATAAACAGAGACAGATATAAACAGAGACAGATATAAACAGAGACAGATATAAACAGAGACAGATATAAACAGAGACAGATGTAGACAGAGATGTAGACAGAGAGACAGATGTAGACAGAGAGACAGATGTAGACAGAGAGACAGATGTAGACAGAGAGACAGATGTAGACAGAGAGATGTAGACAGAGAGATGTAGACAGAGAGATGTAGACAGAGAGATGTAGACAGAGAGATGTAGACAGAGAGATGTAGACAGAGAGATGTAGACAGAGAGATGTAGACAGAGAGATGTAGACAGAGAGATGTAGACAGAGAGATGTAGACAGAGAGATGTAGACAGAGAGATGTAGACAGAGAGATGTAGACAGAGAGATGTAGACAGAGAGATGTAGACAGAGAGATGTAGACAGAGAGATGTAGACAGAGAGATGTAGACAGAGAGATGTAGACAGAGAGATGTAGACAGAGAGATGTAGACAGAGAGATGTAGATAGAGAGATGTAGACAGAGAGATGTAGACAGAGAGATGTAGACAGAGAGATGTAGACAGAGAGATGTAGACAGAGAGATGTAGACAGAGAGACAGATGTAGACAGAGAGACAGATGTAGACAGAGACAGAGATAGAGACATAGAGACAGACACATAGAGACAGACACAGAGACATAGAGACAGACACATAGAGACAGACACATAGAGACAGAGACAGAGACAGATAGAGACAGAGACAGATACAGACACAGATCAGTTATGGCCACATCCACTTCAAAGCCACTAAACTCCGGGTCAAATACTACATGAAATCGGTGAATTCCAGGTGTTTGCCACGCTGTTTGCTCTAGCTGGCGCTCATTTGAACTGGTGCTCCCACAAGGTACTAAGTGGTCCCAGATTTTTTTAATACAGTGCACACTGAGTGTTAATCCTCTATTTCGGTCGTATATATACGTCTTACTAGGTACCGTGTTTGACTTATATATACAGTGGACCCCCGCATAGCGATATTAATCCGTGCAAGAGAGCTCATTGTTATGCGAAATTATCGTTATGCGAATGAATTTTCCCCATAAGAAATAATGGAAATCAAATTAATCCGTGCAAGACACCCCAAAGTATGAAAAAAAACATTTTTACCACATGAAATATTAATTTTAATACACACAAACTGAAAAAGGCATGCACAATTACATGACACTTTTATTGAAGATCTGGTGATGATTGATGGGATGGGAGGAGGAGAGTGTGTTAGTGTTTAGAAGGGGAATCCCCTTCCATTAAGACTTGAGGTGTCAAGTCCTTTTCTGGGGTTACTTCCCTTCTTCTTTTAATGCCACTAGGACCAGCTTCAGAGTCACTGGAGTTCTGTCGCACAACATATCTGTCCATAGTGGCCTGTACCTCTCGTTCCTTTATGACTTCCCTAAAGTGTTTCACAACATTGTCAGTGTAATAGTCACCAGCACGGCTTGCAATAGCTGTGTGAGGGTGATTTTCATCCATAAAGGTTTGCACTTTCAGCCACATTGCACAGATTTCCTTAATCTTTGTAGTAGGCAATTTCTTCAATTTCTCTCTCCCCTCCTTCGAACCAGTTTCCTCAGGTCTGGCCTCTTGCTGTTGAAGTTGATCTATCAGCTCATCAGTGGTTAGTTCTTCATTGTCCTCCTCCACCAACTCTTCCACATCATTCCCACTAACCTCCAACCCCAAGGACTTTCCCAATGCCATAATGGATTCCTCAACTGGCATAGGATTCTCAGGGTTAGCCTCAAACCCTTCAAAATCCCTTTTGTCTACACATTCTGGCCACAGTTTCTTCCAAGCAGAGTTCAATGTCCTCTTAGTCACTCCCTCCCAAGCCTTACCTATAAGGTTTACACAGTTGAGGATATTAAAATGATCTCTCCATAAGTCTCTTAGAGTCAGTTGAGTTTCTGAGGTCACTACAAAGCACCTTTCAAACAGAGCTTTTGTGTACAGTTTTTTGAAGTTTGCAATAACCTGCTGGTCCATGGGCTGCAGGAGAGGAGTGGTATTAGGAGGCAAAAACTTCACCTTAATGAATTTCATGTCCCCATAAAGTCGCTCTGCCACGTCTGTAGGATGACCTAGGGCATTGTCTAACACCAGGAGGCACTTAAGTTCTAATTTCTTTTCAGTTAGGTAATCTTTCACATTGGGGGCAAATGCATGGTGTAACCAGTCATAGAAAAAGTCCCTAGTGACCCATGCCTTACTGTTTGCCCTCCACAGCACACACAAATTAGCCTTGAGGACATTCTTTTGCCTGAACGGTCTGGGAGTTTCAGAGTGATACACTAATAAAAGCTTCACTTTGCAATCACCAGTAGCATTGGAACACATCAACAGAGTAAGCCTGTCTTTCATAGGCTTATGTCCTGGGAGTGCCTTTTCCTCCTGAGTAATGTACGTCCTGCTTGGCATTTTCTTCCAAAACAGGCCTGTTTCATCACAATTAAACACTTGTTCAGGTTTCAGTCCTTCACTGTCTATGTACTCCTTGAATTCCTGCACATATTTTTCAGCTGCTTTGTGGTCCGAACTGGCAGCCTCACCATGCCTTATCACATTATGTATGCCACTAGGCCTCTTAAATCTCTCAAACCAACCTTTGCTGGCCTTAAATTCACTCACATCACTAGTTGCAGGCATTTTTCTAATTAAATTGTCATGCAGCATCCTAGCCTTTTCACTTATGATCACTTGAGAGATACTATCTCCTGCTATCTGTTTTTCATTTATCCACACCAATAAGAGTCTCTCAGCATCTTCCATCACTTGCGATCTCTGTTTTGAAAACACAGTTAAACCTTTGGCAAGAACAGCTTCCTTGATTGCCTTTTTGTTGCCCACAATAGTAGCGATGGTTGATTGGGGTTTACTATACAACCTGGCCAGCTCAGAGACACGCACTCCACTTTCATACTTATCAGTGATCTCTTTCTTCATCTCTATAGTAATTCTCACCCTTATTCCTGTAGGGTTGGCACTAGAAGCTTTCTTGGGGCCCATGGTCACTTATTTTGCAGATAAAATCACCAGAAACACTGTAATAATACGAAATGTTCCGATTGTATGCTTGGATGTTACCGCGGAGGCTGGCTGGTAAACAGTGCCACCGGCGGAACATGTGAGGCTGGCTAAGGGCGCATATTAGATGTGTCTCGGACGAACAGCGTTGAGCGGGTTTTTTAGCGGTATGCGAGGCAAAATCTTAGCGATAAAATGTAGCGGTATGCGGATTTAACGTTATGTAAGGCCAACGGTATGCGGGGGTCCACTGTACTCATAAATTCTAGCGGCTTCAGATCAAGCAGGAAAAAGCTGGTAGGCCCACATGTGAGAGAATGGGTCTGTGTGGTCAGTGTGCACGATATAAAAAAAATTCTGGAGCACGCAGTGCATAATGAGAAAAAACACTCCGAACGTTGTTTTTTTTTTTTTTATTAAAATGCCGACTTTGTGGTCTATTTTTGTATAGTATTTATGGTTGTATTCTCGTTTTCTTGGTCTCATTTGATAGAATGGAAAACATATTATAGAAATTGAGGTGATTTTGATTGATTTTACTATAAAAAGAACCTGGAAATGGAGCTGAAAGTAGGGGAAATGTTTGAATTTTGCCGATGTTCAAAAGTAAACAGATGATGTCATTGTCCAGTAAATGTCCAACTAGCCATTCTAATATGGAGTCATGAATGGGTTGACATTATTACAATACTATTGCAGTAGTCTGCATAACAGTAAATCTTCTATTTTTTGTTTGAATGAAAATTAAAAAAAAAAAAAGCAAGAGTAATATCAGAGGGGCCTGGAGACGTGACTGATGAACAAAGAAAATGTTATTTTAGAGCCAGGAATGTCTGCATTGTTCATTTTGGACCCTATTTTGAAACAGTCATATTTTTTAATTTCATGAAATTGGCCAAATTGTAAATTTCTGTATATTTCTAATATTCTTTCACAAGTGTAAACTGTGAAAGTAAAAAACTGTAAAAAACATACAAAAAAACACCGCAAAGTCGCTGTTTTAATCCAAAATTATGGTCGCAGTTTTTTTTTCTCATGCGCTGCATGCTGCAGGACTTGTTTTATGTGGTTCACTCTTACCACATAGATGTATTCTCTCATATCTAGGCCCAAATTTATTGCTCACAGGTTATCTGAGTGAGCTGAGCTTATGGCATAGATCTACGGTTTGGACCCTGGCTTCAAAGACGTAGATCTACGGAACGAACCCTGATGGGGTTAATCATACTGTCACAAACACACATTTACATACAGATAGGTGATTTTATACACCTGGCTGAATCACATTCTATTATCTACAACGATATACAAGTATTTACAGATTCCACTTATGTTTCTAAAACTCCACGATTGTATGATAAGCCATGAAGCATGGATTCATACAGAGTGCCACCCCACATTGGTAACACATGAATTGTGCCTCTTCCACTGTTGGGGCTGTTTTGTGGTGGTAGCACATACAACACACTTTTTCTGAGTATACTTCTTCTTTTGGGTAGATGGTATTGGTATCAGGTAGTGACAGTTAGGGAGCAGGGCTGATGGTTCCCAGAAGGCAGGAAAGATGTTTGGCAAGAACTCCGGCTAGTTTGTGTGGAGCACTACCTTTCCTCGACGTCCTCATTCACAAAGTAGACAACAACCTAAGATTTCAAGTTTATCGGAAACCAACCAATAAAAATGATCTCACACACTTCTATTCCAGTCAAGATACCAAGACCAAAAGAGGCATCATCATCGGGTTTTTCCAAAGAGCATACCGAATTTGTAGTCCTGAGTTTCTTGATGAGGAATGTACATACATTCACCAAACATCCACTGAGTTACATTTTCCTTCTTTTTTCATCAAAGACTGCAAGAAAAGAGCTCTTCAGATCATTAATTCTCCACACACCAACACCACTCCCAACAAAGTTATAATTCTTCCCAACAGCCAGGTTGCACTGAACGTTTCAAAAGTATGTACTTTCACAAGCTAACACCAGAGTCGCCATCGCTTCTAGCACTTCAATAAAGGATCTAACCAGGACAAAATCCAAGCACCACGAACCAGTCAATGCAGGAGTTTACACTATACCCTGTGGAGCCTGTGACAAGATTTACGTAGGTGAAACAGCAAGAAACCTCGACACCCGCCTCAATGAACACATTTACGCATGTAGGAATGATAACTTGAACAACGCCTGTGTACAACACCGTAATTCCACCAGTCATCTCATGAAATTCAGAGACGCCCAATTAGTGATCAAAGAAACTAATTTCCGCAGACGCAAGTGCCTCGAATCAGCACTGATCGCTGTTTCGAATACAATTAAACAAAGCAACGGCAGCTTCACCATCTCTGAAGTCTTAGCAAGAATCCTCCTGAAAACAGTAAACCCTGCCATCACATAGTCTCTCCTGTTATACTACACAAAGCACATTACAGAGAGTGAACACTGAAACAAGCTGCCTCTTTCCAGTCTATATTTGTCCAACCTATTTTTATGTTACCCAAGTAATAGCTTTTATATCCTTTTACTCATGTATGAATTAATTGCTCTACCGTATTGTGCTGCTGCTGCTGCTGCTGCTGCTGCTGCTGCTGCTGCTGCTGCTGCTGCTGCTGCTGCTGCTGCTGCTGCTGCTGCTGCTGCTGCTGCTGCTGCTGCTGCTGCTGCTGCTGCTGCTGCTGCTGCTGCTGCTGCTGTGCTGCTGCTGCTGCTGCTGCTGCTGCTGCTGCTGCTGCTGCTGCTGCTGCTGCTGCTGCTGCTGCTGCTGCTGCTGCCTGCTGCTGCTGCTGCTTGCTGCTGCTGCTTGCTGCTGCTGCTGCTGCTGCTGCTGCGCTGCTGCTGCTGTGCTGCTGCTGCTGCTGCTGCTGTGCTGCTGCTGCTGCTGCTGCTGCTGCTGCTGCTGCTGCTGCTGCTGCTGCTGCTGCTGCTGCTGCTGCTGCTGCTGCTGCTGCTGCTGCTGCTGCTGCTGCTGCTGCTGCTTGCTGCTGCTGCGTGCTGCTGCTGCTGCTGCTGCTGCTGCTGCTGCTGCTGCTGCTGCTGCTGCTGCTGCTGCTGCTGCTGCTGCTGCTGCTGCTGCTGCTGCTGCTGCTGCTGCTGCTGCTGCTGCTGCTGCTGCTGCTTGCTGCTGCTGCTGCTGCTGCTGCTGCTGCTGCTGCTGCTGCTGCTGCTGCTGCTGCTGCTGCTGCTGCTGCTGCTGCTGCTGCTGCTGCTGCTGCTGCTGCTGCTGCTGCTGCTGCTGCTGCTGCTGCTGCTGCTGCTGCTGCTGCTGCTGCTGCTGCTGGCTGCTGCTGCTGCTGCTGCTGCTGCTGCTGCTGCTGCTGCTGCTGCTGCTGTGCTGCTGCTGCTGCTGCTGCTGCTGCTGCTGCTGTCTGGCTGCTCTGTGCTGCTGCTGCTGCTGCTCTGCTGTGCTGCTGCTGCTGCTTGCTGCTGCTGCTGCTGCTGCTGCTGCTGCTGCTGCTGCTGCTGCTGCTATTTCCTCCTCCTCCTAGTATTGCACCTCTGAGTCTTTATATACCCTCTGTGTCCATGTATTGTTTGTAATGGCTTGATAAAGCTCCTGGAGAGCAAAACGTTACCACAATGTGATGTCACATTAGTTGCACTTGTGTCCTTTAACAATGTTCTTGAAGGGATAAAAGCAGGCACTGAATTTCTGCTTCGTATACACAAACACTTCCCGGATTTTGTATAGAAGGTCATTTCTGTTGGGCCTATTCCTGTCTGAGAAATGCAGCATTTGTAGCAACACAGTGAATCTGTTGCAGGGAAGGTTACAGAACACAGGAGTACTGATGAAGTAATCTGTGGACCAGTAATGTGCTATATTATGCTTATATGTATGTAGCATAAGCATGACAGTGTCAAGGAATAAATACATATCAGCCACAATTGTATCTTTCCACCTGTGCAGCCATGACGATTCTGCAACCACTGTGTTGTCTATGATATAGCGGTAATAATTGTTCATCTGGCTTATCAAATAGGCTTAGATTCATTTGTTATGGGACATTCTGGCAGGATACCACTTCCACTGGCATCAAAATCAAAAGGCTGTGGCATGAATATTCTTTGTGTCTAGTTCCACTCATGGTCACATGGTGCAAGGTGGACCTGTGGCATGGGGCGTGGGGGAGCAGGAGGAGGGACAGGAGTGGAAGCAGCACATGGTTGAGGGGGTGCCGTGCATTCCTTTGTCTGTCCATCCACTGTGCTGTGTGGTCCAGGCACCATGCCACCCACCACTACCTCCTTCTCTTCCTCCATCCTAGCATATTTTCCATGATCACTATCAGTGGTTGGGATTTTGGATTGTGACCTCCCACGACCCTTGGGAACTGCATATAGCACACTGCCTGAACGTAGGTGATGACGCCTAAAAGTACGCTTCACTGGGGAACAGTGAATATCATTATCACATGACAAATCCTCCAATGGCATAAAATCAATCTCATCGTCACTTACATCACTTTCTTTATCGTCATCACTAAAACAGTGGGAAAATGATAGTTTCCCTTATGTAGTTGCCTCTAGGTAGTAACACTGGCCACCCCAGAGGTACTTGGCCCAGGGTCTGGTGTGGCCACACTGGCCACCCCAGAAGTGCTTGGCTGGGGGTCTGGCATGGCCACATTGGCCACCCCAGAGGTGATGGGCTGAGGATCATCCGGGTTATCGTCAATATTTTCACTAATTCCTCTTACCATTAGTGGTCACGTCGGCATCAGATCCACTAAACTTGTGTTCTCTATCACTTTCCTTGAATAAGAGTGTTAATATGATGAGATGTGAGTGAATAACGAGGGTTTGCAATAATGTTGACCATGTAACTGGTGCTATCATGCAGTACTACAGGGTCCTGATTTTTTTCATACGGCGCACACTGAGTGTGCAGACCCATTCTCTCACTTCTAGGCCGCCCAGGCCTATCATGCCAAATTTGAAGGCAGGAAAAATAAAACATAGATTTACGTTTGGAGCACTAGCGGTAAGAACGTAGATCTACATTTGGACAGTTAAGGGATTAAAAAAATATGCTGTGTCAAGAGTAATACTATTGAGTGGATATATGGTATGATGGTGACAATGGTATGATGATGAGATGTTTTGCCCAGTCAGTGACCTAAAAACCCACTGTATAGTTGAAATTTTGTTATAAAAGGTTCAATACTATATATAATTGAAATTATCTTCCTATCATTACTATTGAGCATTTGTTTATGTGTGTGATATTGTTTTTACCTTATCACACATACAAGTTTAACAGTTTAGCACTTTTTTTTTTTTTAACAAGTCAGCCGTCTCCCACCGAGGCAGGGTGACCCAAAGAGAAAGAAAATCCCCAAAAAGAAAATACTTTCATCATCATTCAACACTTTCACCTCACTCACACATAATCACTGTTTTGGCAGAGGTGCCCAGAATACAACAGCTTAGAAGTATATACATATAAAAATACACAATATTGTAAGACAGTACAGTGGTACCTCGGGATATGAACTTAATTCATTCCAGAAGTGCTGATACTGAACAAATTTGTTCCCATAATGAATAATGTAAATTAGATTAATCTATTGCAAACCCCTAAAAATGCACTTACATAATTGTTCGAATTTTGAGCTGTTCGTATCCCAAGGTACCACTGTATCAGAATGTATTAAGATATATAAGGTTTCTTAACTTTTTGCAGTTGCCACGATGCTGAGAGTGTGACATCAGATATATCTGATCCAGCAGAAGTATGCGGTAGTAGTAGTGTGCGGCGGTACAATCATTTAGGAATAGGAAGTGATGTGTGTGATAGTTCAGACTGTGATATCAGCACTACTCAAAACCTGGTGCCCAACAGTGGTCTTCAAATATTACACTGTGATAGCTCATCCAACTTGGAGAAGAATCAGCTTAATGATTCTCTTAGGCAGGAAAAGAACCAACGCTTGTTAGCCACTAGAACAGAAAAAGCTGAGCTTAGTGACTTGGAATTTCCTTGTGGTTCAGTTCCGCATTCATCTATGGTTAAATTAGAAGATATTATTAAGGAGACCAAAACTTCTAATGTCAATGTTTTAGTGAAAGAAAATCCAGCTAATAATGAATTTTTATATGATTCTGAAAAATATGCTAAATATGATAAATCAAGGTTAAAAAATAGCTTGGATAATTTAAGTAAATCTGGAACAAAACGTGTTAAAGAGGTCAATCTACTTCATGAAAAAAGAGGCTGTCATCCCATGGTCATTGAAGGAGAATCTGATTCTGAGGAAGTTGATAATAGGGATGATATTTCAATAAACAAACGTATGCGACTGGATGAGAAAAATGTTCAGTATGAGCTGGAAAAATATCAAGTGGGAACTGTAGAAAGAACTATGGATAGCTCGACATCTACGTTGGGAAGTGATTTACATTTTGTCGCAGCGCCTTCATTTTCATCCCATGAGCAGCGCCAAGCTGAATTGACCTGGCGATCTTTCATAGGAGATGCCAAGAGTGCTGTTGTTGAAACCTTTTATGGACAATTTAAGAGTTCGGTAAGCTTGGAATAAGTTAAAGAATTGCTCTAAGTGTTTTTGTGAATGTATATAATTGTCAGTGGCAGTCTTAGCTGTAAATAATATCTAATAAGTAGTCCAAATTCTAAACAATTATAGATTTGTTATATGACTGAAATATTCTAATTTATTGAATAAACTATTGTTTAATTCTAATTTCTGAAATTTTTATTATAATTATTTTTTACCACAGATGGTATGTTCTGCTTGTGGACATAAGTCAGTCAAATATGATCCATTTGGAACCCTTTCTGTGCCTCTTCCATATGCAAATCAAATTCAGATATGTAAGTGCCTTTGTACTGTGTATTATTAAGTCTTATATTATTGGTGACAGAAGAGATGTCTTTCATTTATGGTTTATACTTCAGTGGCTCATTTGCACCTCATGATTTAGCAGTCGACTGCACTTTTTTTGAACTGTACAAGTTATTTGCACACTTCACATACATATGTCTAATATTAAGCCTAAGATTCATACAAGGAAAGTTGTGTATAAGGGAGGGTTCAACCAGACAGCACATGTGAAAGTTAGAAGTAGGGTAGACAGTTTAAGCAGAAGGCCAGTCAATAGGATGACTGTGATCTCTTACATGGCAGAAAAGAGCATTGTTGGCATTGGCAGGCCTAACACTACTTTTGTGCTCCTTGAGTCTGTCAGAAAGAGAACGGTCAGTTTCCCTAAAGTACTGAAGAGGACAAGAGGAACAGAAAATCAAGTAGACACCAGGAGAATCTATAGGAGGGGGAGAGGTATGAGCTGGATTGGTGTAAAGAGTGTATGTCTGATGAAAGTGAGTTTGATGTCTAAGGATCGAAGAGAGTTGTTGAGATTAGAAAGACTGGAAATATAGGGAAGACAAAGAACAGGAGAGTTACCAGGAGTAGAGAGTTTGGGAGAGAAGAAAGTCCATTTAGCATGTAAGAAGGCAGAGTTTATGAAATGGGAAGGGTGGCCAAGGCAAGAAAATTAATTATGAAGAGTGGAAATTTCCGATTCAAGGAACCAAGGATCGCAAATGCGGAGACCACGGAGAGAGAGAAAGAGAAATAAGAACACTTTTTCTTGACAGAGGAAGCATGATAAGAAAAGTAATGAATGTACATGACACTGTGCGTAGGCTTGCGATGCACAGAAAAAGCAAAATCTGTATCTGAGCAGTGGACTGGAACATCAAGGAAAGGCAGCAAAGAATTAGATTCCCATTCAGCTTTAAACTTAATGGAAGGTGCAGGACTGTTAAAGGCATTGAGAAATGGTTGGAAGAGACTAGAGCAAAGATGTCATCTACATAGAGCCAGAGTTAAGGGCGTACACCATTAGTAAGAAGAAGAACAGTTTTGAAGTATTCCGTATAAAGATTAGCAAGAACAGGAGATAGAGGAGAACCCATAGCGACACCTAAGGTTTGAGAATAATATTTGCCTTGGAAGTAAAAGGAGTTTGATTCCACACGAAGGCAAATAAGACATCAGTAGTTATAGGCAGATGATGTAACCCTTCATTGGCCTTCTCTCTCAGAAAATTAAGGACATCATCGAGAGGGACATGAGTGAAGAGGAACTCAATGTCAAGATTCAGCATCACACAGGTTGAGAGAGGGCAAACACATTCGATGAAGTCTCGAAAATGACGAAGGTGGGCAGGAGAAAAAGTACCAAGAAAGGGGGTAAGGGTTTTGACCACCCAAGAAGCAAGAGAATAAGAAACAGAACCTCTACAGGATATGATGGAATGAAGAGGAATATCAGGTTTGAGTTTTGGGAAGGCCATAGAAATAAGGCAGAGAGGGACAAATGACATATCCTTGAACGAGGTCAAAGTTAGGAGGACAGAGGTCGGAGAGAGTCCTTAGCTTCCTGTTGAAAGTTCTCTTGATGTGATCAAGAGGGATGGAAATGAGAGGAATGCAGGTACGTGAGTCAGAGAGCAAGACTTCAGCTTTATGCTTTATGGAGGTAATCTTTGTGATCAAGGATGACTACCGAATTACCTTTGTTAGAAGTGAGGATGACAATGTTAGTGTTAGATTTAAGAGAAGAAAGGGCAAGTTGATAGTGACGGGGAAGGTGATAACTCTTAGAAAACAGACTATCAAGAGCAGTAAGGAGAGTACACGAAAAGTGGATAGGTCAGGAAGATTGCAAGAGTGAGGCTGACGAAAGGAATCAAAAGAGTTAATCAGGTCAATGCCAGCTTGAGGGGCAAAGGAAAGGCTAAAACCAAGAAGTTCAAGGTCATGTTGGGAGAGTGTGACAGAACAAATACATGACACAGTAAGGGAGAATTTTGACCAAGGGCTATCTGAGATAAAATGTTGACGTTTATTCCGTAGTTTTGAAGAATGAATTTGTGAATTATGATGAGCAGTGGCAAAAGCAGTGGTAGTGAGAAGGTTACAGAGGTCTCGTGGAAGAGAAGCAAAGAGAGCACGTTGACTTTGAAGGAGAGTGAAAAAGGCATATTCAACTTGAGACTTAATAGAGAGAATGAGCTTCTCCTTTCTGTTAGTGTGACTTTGTAAATGATCCAAGCTAGACCAAAACATCGTCATAAACTCCTCTCTCTCCTATGTGCAGGTTATTTGTTTGGAATGAATGTTTGTCAGTACATAGAAGAAAAAGTTTTAGAATGAGATTAATAAATTGAGAAAGCCTAGAGAATGAATGGATTGAACAGTTAAAAACAAAAGAGAGGAGTTGGAGGAATGGGGAAGGTGGAGGGAATATTTTGGAGCTGTTAAATACTGAAGAGGAGGAGGAGGAGGAGGCAGTGATTTTTTTTTTAGGAGTGAGGAAGAGTCAGATGTGAACGTGGGGGGTGTGCATAAGGCAGTGGGTAGGATCAAAGGGAGTCAAGTAGCCGGGATTCATAAGATCAAGACTGAAATGTTAAAAGCAGGTTGGGATATAGTTTTGGAGTTGTTGGTGCATTTGATCAATAAATATATAAAGGGGGAAGGTACCTAGGAATTGGCAGTGTGTGCATAGTTCCTTTGTATTAATCTTTTTGCTGTCCAGACCCCCAGAATTAATATTGCTCTGTGTCCACTTTAAAAAAAAAAAATCTTAAATAGTAGAGAATCTTATTCTGATAGTAATGACACCATCAGTACAATATTTGATGGAAAACTTATGAAATTATGCAGGTGCAAATTTAGCAGTCTCTGCAATTTATGTATCGGTGATTTTGCCCACTTTGAGTCTTATTTTAAGCCAGTTTCATTGTTCCATTTGACCAAATTCTTAGCTGTTTCGTTAGTATGCCTTTCATTCTTTAATTATTTCAGCTACTCTATAAAGTGAACAGAAGTCAGTAATTTGTCCAATTTTACACAAAATTAAAATAATTCCAGTTTAAAAATAGTCCTAAATAAGCAATGTAGACATTCTTGGCACTAAAATATTTCCACTGTTCATTAGTCATGTCCCCAGGCCTCTCCTGTATTACACTGCCTTCCATTTTGAATTCTTAATTACATAAACATAAAAGATTTACTCTATTTGTCTGATGATAAAATATAACCAGGTATGATTGGTCATTTTTTTTTTTCAACAACCGCCATAGGCAGGGTGGCCCAAAAAGAAAAACGAAAGTTTTTCTTTTTACATTTAGTATTTTATACAGGACAGGTTACTAGCCCCTTGCTCCCTCATGGTTTATTGTCCCAGTAATTGAATCATACCTGTTAAAAATCCATAAGAGTGGGGGTGTAGGGAAACCTTAACTGTCCTCAGGAATTTTGGCAAAAATTTTATGTTTTTGCTTCTTGAGCTCAGTTTCAGGCTACTAATGGTTCTGAAACCAGTCAAAATCATCTCCATTTGTTGGTAAAAAATGATACCAAGAAACAGCCAGTAAAACCATAAAAAGCATCTGCAAAAACACCTGGAAAGTCACTCATTTAAGCCATACACAGTCAATTTTTCCCATCATGCACTGTGGGGGGGAGGACTTTTTTTTATATTGTGCACACTCATCACACAGACCCATTCTCTGATATCTAGGCCAGAATTTACAGCTAACAACTTATCAGAGTGAGTTGAGCTCATGTAGAACTACACGAGAGACCCTGGCCTCAATGATGTAGTTCTGTGTGACAGCCACAGTCACTGAAAGGGTTAAGGAAAAAGGGATAAAGGAGAGTGTAAGGGGAGTAAGCTTGAGTATACCAAGTGAGGTGTATGGTAGAGTTGTTATTGAAAGAATTAAGGGTACGACAGCAGGATTGCAGATGAACAAGGTTTTAGGAAAGGTCGGAAATGTGTAGGCTAAGAAGTGAACATTATTTAGATAATGATAGGGTGGATAATGGAGCAGTGTGGCAGATGTTGCATATATGGAATAGGTGGTAGGATACTTAAAGCAATTAAGTTTGTATGAGGATATTGAGGTTCAAGTTAGGGTATGTAGGAGAGGGAGATTATTTTCCAGTAAGAGTAGGCCTTAAACAGGGATGAGTGATGTCACCATGGTTGTTTAACATATATAGATGGGGTTGCGAAGGAAGTGAATGCTAAGGTGTTGGAGAAGTGTGGAATTGAAAGATAAATCTGTACTGAGTGGGAGCTGTCACTTTGCTTTTTGCCAGTGACATGGTGCTGTAGAGAGATTCTGAAGAGAAGTTGCACTGAGGCATCTGTAGAGACAGAACGTTAACCATGGGGGCAAAATGGGGTATGTATCAGAGTATAATGGTACCAACTCTTCTATATGGATATGAAATATAGGTTTTAAATATTGCAGCAAGGAGAAGTCTGGAGGCAGTGGAGATGTCATGATTAAGAAAAATGTGTACGGTGAATATATGCAGAGAATTCATAGCTTGGAGATTGAAAGGAGATGCAGGGTTATTAAAAGCATTATCTAGAGGGCGGAGGAGGGGTTATTGAGGTGGTTGTGGACATTTAGAAAGGATGGAGAAAAATAAGATGACTTGGAGGGTTTGTAAATTTGTAGTGGAGGGAAGGAGGGGTAAGGGTTGTCCCATGATAGGTTAGAGGGATGGGGTAAACTAAGTTATTTATTCAAGAGTTTTGAATATCCATAAAATGTGTGTAAGCATATATAATTGGAGCGAGTGGAGGCAAGTGGTTTTCATGATGATGTACTGTTGGAGTACGAGCAAGGTAACATGAAAGGATTCAGGGAAATTGGTTAGCCGGACTAGTCCTGGAGGTGGGAAGTACAGTGCCTGCACTCTGAAGGAGGAGTGGGGATATTGCAGTTTGGAGGGGCATCTGAGTTGTAATATCAGTGCACCTCTGCCAAGACAGTGATGGAGTA